CATTACATACTTCAGGCTCTGTTAAAACAAACGGAGCGGTGATGTCAGAAGTCCATGTCGGACCAGCTGAGGAGAAGCAGTCTCCACACTCTTGGCTGATGGCTCCAGACAAGCACCTTGATGGCTGTAATTACTGTCATGTTCCAAAAGAGATGAGAGATACCAGAGGCCCAAATAAAACCTAAAACGGTTTTGATATGATGGATTTCTCCAACTTTGTTTAAAAATTCCTGAAGCTATCTGTCTGGATTCTCGAGGAGATGATGACTCGAGCACTACAGTCGCTCCTCGGCGCACAAAAGCTTTATAGTGTTTAAATCAATAAGGTCGGTCAGATTCAGGGTTCGCACGCGGCTACAATTGCTGCCTGTTTGCTCCACGAGTAAGTATGCAGACTGGTTTCAGTAAATGTCTGCTGTGGGTGTTTACATTCTACCTAATGCACTCAGATGACACTGAATCTAAACACATTCACACAGAGACTCTCCACTGCTCAGCTTTACTGGCACATTCCACGTATGTCCATCTTTATGAGTCCAGCTGTCTTTAAGCTGAGGTTTCTCACTGCTAAGCATCTAAACATAAGCAGTCTCTCACTAAGTCAACAAATGAATTGAATTATGTTGAGTTTTAAAACAAGGAATTTTTATTGTTTGAGTATTTACCAGGGGTGGACCATTTATTTCTAATGTAAAAATACTCCACTTACAAGAAAAAGGCCTGAATACTGAGTGCATAAAAATGGCACCTGTGAATGTTGTTATGTATTATATTAGTAGATTAATAATTCTGTTTCATGCACATAAGGGATAATGCCTGGTGAGGGATCCATTATCAGGAATTAATGGACAATGAAGTGGTTGAGTCCATTAATTCTTTATTATGGACACCTTGAAGGGCATTATTCCGCTAATACCATGGTCACTTGCCAAAGAAAAAGATCATTAGTTTATATTTTCATGTGTTTTGCAATCAAACTCTAAAGTTAACACCTGAGATTCTGACTAATGCCTGGATGAATCATTACTATCCCATAAGGTTCTTATGCAATGGAAACAACTTCATGATTCCAGTAAATAGGATGATCCTTAGATACGATTTGGGAGATATTTCTAATACACGTTTCACACTACATGTTTTAATTGGTCCACGACTTTTATGCACACACTGTATGAATCAGCTAACCAGCTGGGACATGGTGCTCACACTGAACATAAGACTGGAACCACTGGTCGGTTGTTATTTAATTGTCAATTGATCCCCTTCAAACTGCATGTTAAAGCAGAACATAGAAATTTGTCCCATTTCAATTAATTAGTCAGGGGTTAAAATCAGGCTTAATAAGTACAGTGTCTGTCCTGCTATAGTGTAATGTGTGCTAAGTAATGCAGTGGACACTCAAGTAGTGTACCAGTGCCTTCACATTTGTACTAAAGTCAGCTACATACATTCCACAGCTGGTATTTAGCGTTGTCTTCAAACTTCTTCTTCTTATGAATTTTCATTTTTCTGCACAACCCATTACCGCTCCTCTGATCCCTATCAGCTCTGTACTTATTATCCCTTACAGTTGTGTTCTGATGGACTCCAGTCAAGTAAATGCGTCACAGCGGGAGCTGCCACATCCTCGCAGTGAGCATGCCAGAAACTTAAAAATGAATGACTCCAGCAATCACTTGAGGTTTCACAGGCAGTTTCTCCCTCCCTCCGTGCTGCCAGGACTTAACACACCGGGGAGATAAAAATCTAATTTTTGCAAATGGGATTAAGGCACATAGAATAACAAAAAGAGGAATGAATGGGCTTACTGTATTAAACAAAAGATGTACCTGATAGTCCCTGTGTGGTTTCTGCTCAACATATTTCTATAAATGGTGGACGGTTTGGAGACTGCTTCAACGTAGATCCATTTAGCTCTGCAGGAGGATTATTCCTTTGTGTGCCAAGCTACCGTTTAAAGTTGTCAGAATAAAAGTCTCTATTTTGAGACAGGAGTGCCCACAATGGGTGAAACATTTTCAGGGAATACAGTTTATGCTGGCACACGACATGCAGCTTTGTGCATATATCAATAGCTAACCACACAACTTTAATTTGTGCATCAAATATCTATCTCAATCAGCTTTATTTTCACATGTACAGGCTCATATACTGTGCGGTTGGCCATAGTGCTGAAATGTGAAAGGGCAAAAATATCTCCCACAACCTTGAAATTCCTCCAAGCTTCATGAATCAGAAAGAACCAAAGGAATTAAAATTTGCTGAAATATGTTGTGTTTTCTTTTCTTTTCTTTTCTTTTTATTTTGCTTTGGTCGAAAAAAATAAAATCATCAGCTGCATTATTGTTGAGCCCGATCCTTAAAGAGCAGTGAAGTGAACCTTCGAGTATGCCTCTAACAGCCTCCCTAACCCTGCTGTTAAACCTTGTGTGTCTGTTTTATATTGAGTTGAGAGGGGGAATACTCCATGTGCCTCCTCTGCTTAAGATGAAGGGCAAAGGGTGTTATGGGTTGCCAGTTCTCACCACAGTTTCCTCTCTTAAGTAGCTCTGATGCTGCAATAACACAAAGGCGCCAAAAACAAGATGATACTAAAGGAAGGGATAAAGGGCACTTTCAACTCATCCAGACCCTTTTTTTAAACTTGAACCCAAATGTCACATGCCTGAATCTCAATACCCTTTCAGGACTATATCACATGTATGGGCTGCATTGTAAGTGACAAGCATAAGCTCTTGGATAACTAGATGGATTAGCAGATGGAGAGAAAGACAGACAATGAGCAGACCATCATGAATTAGAGAGAGAAGACAGAAGAGACCCATCGGCCCTTCCTAAACCACAGGTATGATTTACAGAGCAGGGTTGGTCGCCTGCGTAAAATTAATAATAGGAAATGCAAGGGTAGTCCGGTGACTTGTCCAAGATATACTTTCCCTGGCTCTCCAGACCCCAGGAAAACCTGGGTGGCCTGCAACCGGGCTTCCTCTGGTGTCTGATGTTAATGTCATTGCTTTTGCTGGTATGACAGGAGCTTCACCACAAGTGTGGTTTGGGTCAGACAAAAGGGACAAGCTGTGATAGCAGGATACAGCTCCATAATTCAGACAAAAACAAAAAAAAAAGAGAGAAAGAGAGAAAGAAGAAATTCACTCTCACTGTTTATCGATGTATTTTTGTCCCACGGTGGAGTTTGTTGCCACAGAGAGGGAAGGAATGACGAGGAGGATGAAATTTTTCAAATCCGATTGTTTTTAAGTACTTCACTTTTCCAGAAATCAGAAACCACACGGTGTATTATGGTTAGTGGATGTTTTGAATTACTTCAGCTACTTAATGGTTCCTCCTTACCCAGCCCACAGAATTGTTTCATAGTGGTTTTAAAACTTTGCTTAAGTCATTGAGTTGGATGTTGAGTAATCTGCTTTCTAAACCTACCCTTCACACTGAAGTACGTAGGTTGTCCGCTTTATTTTAATGTATTTCATATGACGTCAAATTAAGGGCAAAAAAAAGAGAAGCATATTAGGTAAAGACCAAAATGTCCGAAATGTCAACTTTTGGAGGAATTTAAAAGAGAGCCTTGTCTTTAGGTTGATGGAATTTTATGTTTCCGGTGGAGTTTTTAACCACAAAATGAAGAGATTTCTTTAATTTTCATTGACATGAAAATGTGAAACTCAGTGTGTACATATATTTTACAAGGGTCATAAATAAGTTTAAATTAAGCTCTTTTGCTCTCCTTACAAAAAGTGCAGTGTGTCCTTAAAGTCCTGGCTGTCAAAGTAAGTGAGAACAGCCCTGCTGGTATGGGTCTCCGTGTTAACTCCTCTCAAGTTGGCACCATTTTGAGAATCCCCTGTTTTCTGAAATAACAGAGGATCTAAGGCCCATTACTCTATATACAGAGTATTGTAACGAGGTAAGTGGAGGCGGGTGGAACATTTTGTAAATCTTGTGTCACCAAAACCGCCGCAAGCAGGATGAATGCGTTTACTTCGCCAACAGGATATCCCTTCAGACTTGCTCACTGCGTCGCTGATGAGGATAACAGAGGGGGCATTATTTTTGCTCAACAGCTCGGGAAGGTGATAAAGGGCTCCCAGATCCTCTCACAGGGGTGCAGCGGTACACACACACACACACACACACACACATCCATTCACGTTGACGCAACATTTCATCCACCCAACTATAAGGAGCTTCTCTGGATTTAACCCCTAAATCAGGGTCATGGCCAACCTGACTGGGGTCAGGAGGAAAAGACACAGCTATCTATAGACATCCCTTATAAAAGAAATTTCTTCATAATAACATGATTTGGCTAAGGTTAGAGATGCATTGGGGAGTTTTGAACAGTACTGAAATGTGTCTGTATTTTCCATTAGCTCTGATGTTCTTGTAAGACTGTGGTCATATATTTTCCTGTTTATAGATAATAAAGTGCAATGCTGATGAATAGATATTTATTGAGTGTACTTGATCATTTCCAATGCAGCTGTAATGGTTGTGTGGTGTGCATGAAGACACTGTTTTATTAACATCCTGCATTGTGCTATTTTTATTGAATTAATTTATTAGCCTAGTTCAACTTCATTGAGCTAATTTGCAAAGCCAAGTTGCCTACTTGTCCTCAATACAAACAAACAAACATGGATAAATATATATGTAATTGATTTATATTTAATAAAATATAATTAAATAAAGATGAGTCAGATACAGTTTATCACAATATGCAGCAGAATAGATTACCATAAATTACCATCAGAACGTGGAATAAACAGATATACAAAATAAAACAAGAGGTTAGACTAGTTAGTGTTAAACTGTTAAACCAGTTTAGTCCCTTGTTTCCATGTGACAAGATATAAACAAAAAAAGCTATTTTAAATCCATCAAAATGTAGATATTTTAAAGAATATTAAAACAATTGACAGGAAGTGAGTAAAAGTCACCCAATCACTGATTGGCTGTGGGGAAGAGGTACCAGCAGGTGTGTGAGAGGCAGCCAATCAAATGATGACCTGAGGAACGATTACCGTCAGTGTTTTACAGACTGTTTGGAGTTCATAGAGTTTACGAGCTGACCTTGCGATAGTGCCAACGCCAAGCTAGTGTCAGCCATTGACTGTGTATGTAGTGTCACTGTTAGCTGCAGTGCTAACGTGAAGCTAGCGGGGGTACAAGACCAACGGGCGGATCCGGACAGGTTGCTCTGACAACTGGACCACCGTTGCTAAGGAGCTGTATCTAAGCAACCAGAGCAGGAGACTGCGAGAAACTTAACTGTAACCGCTGTAAGGTGAGTAACCCACTTTGTATCGACGGTTATGCGTTTTATTTGTTGTTGTTGTTCATATTTAAAAGTCTACAGTTATCATGAGTGTGTTGCGTTGTTGCTGATTTTATATTGGTGACTCTTAAAGTGGAGTTTTTATTTGTTTTGTGTGTTTATTTACCGTAGGTAGAGGTTACAGTAAACTGTGTGAGTAAGTTGCCAAAGCTGTAACAGATAATCAGGTTGAATTGTGTATTTCCTCCACCTCCTCTGGATGTGTTGCCTCTTTTCTGTCTTCAACCTGTCTTATTATAAACCTGTTGTTTATAATACGTGTGGGGTTTTATATTGTTGTTGAGTAATGTAGTGAGAGTGAAGCCCTATAGCCTACACACAGTGAGAGAGATTACATTTTTCCTGCCAATAATTTGTCACCAACTCAGTATTTAGAATAGTGAAAATAAAAGGTCAAAAGTAATTTAGAGAGATATTATTTTTGCATTGATAGTAAACAACCTGCTGTCTATAAGGCCAGTAAGAGCAGGAACTGAGCCTCTTTCTGTTGTGTCCATATGGGCTGTGAAAGTCTGAACATTTTAAAACTGTCTCAGCACCAATGACAACACGACAAACTCTATTGTCTCTTGCGCTCGGTGATTAAAATGAATGATTCCTGTTATGACTGGTCGCCCCGTTTTACTTCCCTTCCATCCACTAACAAGTGCGAATACTTTCATTGTGGGGAGCAGTTCTCAGTCTCAATCAGCGCTGGATGCATGCAGTAGTTACAGTAACCAAACTTCCCCATGTGTTTATTCTTTTTGGCTTATGGTCAAGATTATATTACTTAGAATATGCGTATGGTGGTGCAGGTTTCATTTGTTAGAAAAAGGCTTGTGGAACCAAGAGGAACATGTTGTTTTTTTTGTGGTGACGACTTTGTGGCATAGGTTGACGTATTTTGTGGTCAAAGTTGACTTTTTTAATTTGCTCATATATATATATTTTTTTATCACAGATCTTTTGATTCTTAACATGATTTGCTCTTTGCTTGCCCTGTAGTAGAGCAACCATTTTGCTGCTTTAAAGCTTTGGACTCTGGATAGGGTTTAGGCTTGATTATTTTGAAATGTCATTTAATAAGACATATTTCCCTTAATTTCTCTGACCATGTCATGTGTTGCAAGTAGATACGTAAAACCAAGTGGGAAGGGAGAAAGAGAACGCCAATACGTTGCATTCAAGTGTGAACCTATTGTGACATCACCCATTGCTTTGTGGAGTACCGTTTTCAAGCCTTGAGTTTGGCTTTTTAGCTGTCGCCAAAGAGATTTGATCAGCACTGCCTAGTTTGACAGTTTTTTTAAAATGTATTTTTTAAAGTATTTTTGGGGCTTTTATTGCCTTTTTTATTGATAGTAACAGCTGATGATAGACAGGAAAGGGGGGGCAGAGAGAGAGGACGACACGCAGCAAAGGGCTGCAGGTCGGATTCGAACCCTTGGCCACTGCAGCAAGGACTCAGCCTCAGTACATGGGGCGCCCCCTAATTTGATCTGAGTTTCGTGCGTGGACAGACTCACTGACAGTGACCTGTCAATCATAAGATAGCCACGCCCAAAAGCATACGCAGCTTTATTGTCTATTTTACTAAATTAAATTGGACCATAATTTACTAAATGAATTGAATGAATCATAATGTATGGAAGAAGACTTGAAATAAGCGATTGAGACCATAAACTCGTTAGGAAACTGCTTACTGAGCTCATAAATCAAGTGAGAAGTCAGCTCATTCTCCATTAATGTGAATGGTAAATGTTTGTTACTGCAGCCAGTGGGAGCTGCATGGAGCTCCCCTGCTGGCCTTTACATAGACCGCAGGTTTTAAGACACTTCCGCGATGGCTTCACTTTTCAGACCCAGAAGCTCTGTCCATTATATACTGTCAGTGGTTGTATTAGACCAGCTAATGGTCAGTAAAGGGTGGAACTGAGAAAGTATAACCAGGTCGGGTTTAAGTCTGAAATATTTGCAGAACAACTTGGGTTTGGTCGGGTCCAAATGGGCTAAGATCAGGTCTCACTGTTAGGCCTTTTACAGAACCCGTTAGCTGTTGTACACTCATATCAGGTTACACAGAGCATCACTTGTACAGTAAGAACTACAGCTGCAATCAAAATTAATCTGGAATTAAACAAGCTAGCTAACATTGTTTCAAAGGTCTCTATTATCTTTTAGGCAAATTGCTAATTACTCCGAGTCCACATGTCTTCTCTATGTGTCTTTAAAATTAAACTTCCACAGTGCACACAACTGTACTGGCACAATTAATCACACTGGATCTCTTCAGTGAGCATTTAGACTGGTGCACTTTCTACATTTTAAAATGACTTAACTGTAGAAACTTCAGCACTGATTTACTAAAAGTTCAATAATGAGGCCTCTCCATCATTGCCATAACTCACATGACTTGTTGAAGGGAGCTGCTCTCAATTATAGTGAAGGTGGTAGAACATAACGCTTCCTTTATAGCTCTGAAATCATTTCACAGGCTCTGGTAGCGCTGGCATAATTTTAAAAAGCTCGGGTCTGAGGTAGCCCATTAAAAATACTCATAAACATTAATTTTGCCAGTGGGATGTGAGATTGTGTTACCCTCTTGGCAGAATTGAGTATGAAATATGTGGTTTTGCATTGGCCAGAAAAGTTCCCTGCCCTCGTTTCCTTTGAAAAGTGTATAATCTAGACTGTGACTGTTTGTCAACTGGGTCTGAAGAAATTGGACACAACCCATTCACCATGTGCCTTGTCATGATGGTGATGGCGGTCGTGTCAACCTAAAACCCTGAAAATCTGAAGGAGGTTACCAAGCCAGAGAAATGTGCTGACTGATTAGTGCAGCACATTTCATATATAGTAAAGCCAAAAGATAAATAAAACTTGAGTAATTAGGGGTGGAAAGTTATTGAGATGTCTCCAGTACAATGACCTGTTTGAATATGGTTTTCAACCATTATTGTTTTAGGTTTTGGCTTTTTGAGAACTTTCTTAGAGTGGAAATTCATAATAAAAATACCCTTCTGTCCCTCACATTAATCTAATATCTGCAGTTACTTGTAGAAAACAGTAAGAACTGTTTTGCATGTATAAGCACACACTCTAACCTTTACCACAATACACATTTTTAGTTCAGTCATCCAATAACCAGATTGAAAATGAAATAACCAAGTCAAGTCAAATCACTGCCCACATCAACGTTTTTTGTTGAGCGAGTTCTCATGTTGTGCTCATCGACAGCTATTTCAGCCAGCTGGAAAAAAAGTTAACCAGTCAGAGATCTGACTGAAGAATGCACATTATCGTCCTCTTACTGATCTCTTGCTAGCTAGCTGCTGAGCTACGTCCATTAAAAATAGCGACAGAAGACTGGCCTCAAAGATAACAACTCTTAAATACACATATGTAATTTTATCGACTGAAAAACCTTTTATCTGCCACTAGCAACTGCTACCACAACTTCTGCATCATCTGAGAATCACATAGGCTGATGGAGTATGTCTGATGTCACTTGCTACTGATTGGTTGGGACAAAATTAAATGTTAACTATAGTTATACAAATAAACAAATTAGACCAAAGACTGGCAGCATGCACATTTTACATGATTTTCTGCAACTCAGATTTTGAGAGCAGTTAGGTAGCGGTCAGTGGGATCAAGTAATAGTATTATCTTTGGGGTAATGCTCGCTTAATTTTGACAACACGCAGCACCGGCAATATCTATTTACTCTAATAGCACCCTTGTATCATGAAAAATTTGACAAAGACATGTTGAAATGTTATGTTTTCAGCATTTCACCGCAATCTTAAAATACACTTGGTAATTTCAATTTCAGGTGCTGCGACCATGTGGAGAGCGGGTCAGAATGATGTGAGGAGTCGGATATATGAGCAGTTCTGTGGTAAAAGGGGCTTGGCTTCCTGGCACACACTAGGTACACCCTATTGATGCTCAGCCAGCAGCCTGACCCACACCGGGTCAAATTTATGGGTAGATATTTAGCTTGTCTCTGCCACTCTGTAGGGCAGAAAGAATAACATTGCGCGTCTTTACTGGTTGCGCTTCGAGCCTGGTGATGTTTCCCCTCAGAGGAACCAGCCTGGCTGCACATCACAGAACTGCTGAGAGTAAACTGAAAATGTCAAAAACACTCTCAGTCTCCTCTTCAAAGTTAGCGTGTGGTCTATAGCCTCATTTTATCATTAGGTTTGTGAACAGTTTAGGTTTAAGACCTGAGTTTTGAATCTTGGTTGCCACGGCAACACCATGCTTGTCCCTCTGATCAACCCAGTAAAATTATTTCCATATATGTCTGTAGAATCAACATGACCATTTTATAATTATTAACATATCATTGACGTAAAGTTTTTTAGTATTTAAAAGAACTTTTCTGGGTTGTTTGCCTTGATCTTTCTTCGTCTGTCTTTGTCAGCCTGTAACGCTGATAATAAAACAGGAAACAGTCACAATGTGTCATTGTCAGAATGAGGAAGTAAAGATGCTGCGGTATCAATATAGTTTTCTGGAGAAATTATGAGTTACTAGTCACCAGTTAAATGACCTTAAGAATGATCTTGTTTTATGGCCAACACAGGAAGGCGTTAAGTACTTGTGCAAACATAAAACGTTGAGACACATCATTGCTAACTTCTCAACATGTTATAGATCATACTTTTACCATCCACCTCTTTTTTTATTTAGTATGAAATTACATATAGTATAAAAATGGGGAAGTACCGTTTTTATTTTCCTGTTACATGAACCTTGGAACATGTTGCCTTCCAGCTGCTCCAGCAGCTCAACCCCAAAAGTAGTTTCACTTCTCTATGGCTCAAGTTTTTCGTTTAAATTGCAAAATACCTAGTGAGTTGTTGGTACAATCACTCTCTCCTAAACCACGTTAACTCTGCCTGCAGGATTTGAAATCACTGACATGAGGGATCTGGCTTACTTACTTTCAAAGA